ACTTTATGACGAGGGGAGGGGGGTCTGAAAAGGTCACTTTGAGTGTGATGTAATTTGCAAACGACCCCTAAGTAAATTATGTCCCCTTGTACATGTTTTACTTTCACATTTAAAGACATTTATGTCTCAGTAGGTTTGTCAACATTTTCTTACATTCTGCAAAGTTGAAGCACAATGGGTCCTGTGAGCACATACCTCAGCATGGTAATGAAGGCAGCCAGCTGGTTGTGTTCAAGTTTCAGCTCTGGAGGGAGTCAAGTTCACAAACATCAAGCAATGACAGGTACAGTGGAAAGAAGCAATTACAGGTACAGCGGAAACAAGCAATTACAGGTACAGCGGAATCAAGCAATTACAGGTACAGTGAAAACAAACAATTACAGGTACAGCGGTATCAAGCAATTACAGGTACAGAGAAAACAAACAATTACAGGTACAGCGGAATCAAGCAATTACAGGTACAGTGAAAACAAGCAATTACAGGTACAGTGAAAACAAACAATTACAAGTACAGTGAAAACAAACAATTACAGGTACAGTGAAAACAAACAATTACAGGTACAACGTAAACAATTACAGGTGCAGTGGAAACAAACAATTCTAGGTACAGTGAAAACAAACAATGGCAGGTACATTGTAAACAATTACAGGTATAATGTAAACAATTACATTTTTTTTTCCATCACAAACACATCCAACTAGTCTGACTTCAACACCAAATTGCTCACCAATAAACAAAAACTGTGTTCTTTAAATGAAATTATCCATCTCATCCATGTAACCAAAACAATCATACTGACACAGATAAATGGCAAACCTCACCACTACACAAGCCGCTGTTAATGCCATCTGAATTTATAGACCCCAATTATCACGTTATAGCAGGGCGCCAGAGTTGATGGCTAATAGCAATAATACACTTTTACTACTAGCAGTTATACACTTTTACTACTAGCAGTTATACACTTTTACTACTAGCAGTTATACACTTTTACTACTAGCAGTTATACACTTTTACTACTAGCAGTTATACACTTTTACTACTAGCAGTTAAACACTTTTACTACTAGCAGTTATACACTTTTACTACTAGCAGTTATACACTTTTACTACTAGCAGTTATACACTTTTACTACTAGCAGTTATACACTTTTACTACTAGCAGTTAACTACTAGCAGTTATACGCTTTCACTACCAGCAATTATACACTTTTACTACTAGCAATTATACGCTTTTACTATTAGCAATTATACGCTTGTAGCAATGACATCCTTAGGTGACATATGAGGCATAGCTATAATATTTTGCGACCAGGGACAAACTATACAATTGGCACCCCAGCCCCCTCCGCATTTAATCACATTTTTCTATTACATTGAATAAGAAAAACAATTTAAATTTTAATAAAACATTCTATTGAAAGAAGCAAATGTATAGAACTTATAGTACATGACCCACTCGGTGTCTGTCCTAGACTGGTTTACATGGTTTACAAAAAGTTTATTTTTCTTGATGTTACTGTCACAAACTGGTCCATTATGCAATCAATATTTGTTTTTTTCAATGTTTCTCTTTGAATGCTAAGAAGAGCAAGATCGCTGAGATGATCCTCTCCCATTGATGCAAGGCAAATGCGACAAAATAAGTAGGCTATTAGATGACACGTCTGCTGAGCCGCTGCACCGATCTTGTGACCAATTTATTACCCTTGTTTACTTATTATAATGCAACATTGTAGCCTCATTTTGGCGCGCCTGTACTTTGGTGCCCCTGTACCTTGGCGCCCGGGGACATATGTGCCCCCCTTCCCTCCCCCCCTCTGCCTGATGAAATAAATATGATATAAATTATAGAATTTTAAATTCAAGAAAATATTTTTGTTGTATGGATTTAATGTTTATAACAGCAATCAAGTTTCTAAATCATCAAATTAATAGTTTACCTGATGAAACAGATGTGCCTGAGGTGACCACGGCCCACTCATCAAGGTCAAGTTCATAGGCTTCCGTTTTGGTTGGTGAACTCTGGCTCTCCACGGGCATCTCTACGACTGTCTGATCCAGTATCTCCAGCAAGGGAAATAACACTTGTATGCCTCCAAGGCAGTTGATAACATCCTATAGTTGACATTGTTGAAGAGGGCAAACCAAAACCATATTGATAAAATTAATGCCTGTTGAATTGGGGGAGGGGGGGGGATTTACTCTCAAAAGACGAGAGATGGAAAAATCGGTCATATATGGCGAGTGAAAAAAAACGACCCCTAATATATATATATAAATAATATTAAAAGGCGAAAATAAAGATTTTGGAATGTTAAATTTCTATTTGGCAATAAAGAAAAATTGTTTATTCTACTAGTTCTTAAAGAAATCTGGTAGCAACTTGTCCATTCATAAATTTTCCTTTTGACCATTGACTCATATTTGCCACAAATCCGGTTCACAGTTACTACACACTAAAACATTGCTATGGAGTCTGATCCTGATTATAAGCTTGAAATGGACAATTATTCTTACTTAGAGGAATATTTTTGATAAAGATAGCACTTCAGATGTGTCTGATATCAAGAATTCTGTAAATTTTCATCATAATAATAGTAACAAGGTTTGTTTACTTTTTTCATTCATACTCAACTCACGCATACTGTGATACTTTCTTAGCACTATTATTAGCCCTAACATTATTTTTATTCATAGCTTGAGGTTTCACCGCCACGAATCTGAATGTCGAGGATAAACAAGTCGAGCAAAGTAGGTGTTATAGAACGTGTCTTGACCCAATTTTACTTCAACATATATCTAAATCATCAACCACTCCTCTCCCTCATTTTTTTGTTTCGATACTAACGTCACCAATTAAATGTGTTAAGACAATCCTTTTCACCCACCCCTCCCTTGATTGACAAAAGGTTGTTTACGTTTCAGTACATTCTAATTTGTTGTAAAGAATTCTACCAGGTGATGCAATTTCTAGAATTTTTTCTTGGAGGGTTTCAATTTTATCCTTATAAATAAAGCAGCAATTTCCCCAGACAGGAGAGATTCTTGCTGTTTTTCCCCAGACAGGAGAGATTCTTGCTATTTTTCCCAGACAGGAGAGATTCTTGCTATTTTTCCCAGACATTTACAAGATAAATTCTAACTCTCCATGAGCAGATGATTGGACTTCATAGCCACCTCACAGCCCGCTCCCGATAGGCCAAGCACTTTAATATTTGCATTTATGATCTTCAAACGCAAATTTAAGCCATCATCTTATACAAGTTTTTGGCAGAATTTATAAAATTATTTTTATATTTATTTGACCAGCAGAGGATGGGCAGTTCACTCTAATACAAATTATGCTGTCTTTAGAAATATAGCAAACATAATTTTGGAGGAAACATAAACAAAAAATATTTAAACTGTGGTTAAAAATATATATCTTTGAAACTCTAATGCTAAAGCCAAATCAGCTACTGCCAAATAAGCTACTTTAAAATCAGATACTACCATAGAAGCTACTTTAAAATCAGCTACTGCCAAATCAGCTACTTCCAAATCGGCTACTGCCAAATAAGATACTTTAAAATCAGCTACTGACAAATCAAGTGTACCCACATACCTTTCCATCAGAGTGTAGAAAATCAAGTCAATCATTACTCTCTAATATCTAATAACCAATCTAAGACTGGAACAGAAATGAAGAATTGGCTAAAATTCATGTGTTAATCAACTATTTCTTTTAAATTATGCCTACCGCAAAAGTAAATATTGATTGGAGTGGTGAGACTTTTTTCACTTCTGCTTGGTGGTATGCTGGTATGTCATTGACTGCTTCCACTTCAATCCTAACTCCTGGTGATCCCACCCTACAGATGTTGAAGGGCTGTGACAAGGCAGACAAGGGAAGTTTATGAAATAGGTGAGATACATGAACCAGAACAAAAAAATAATGTTAAAATTTTTACCTCTGAAAGACTTGGAAACTTGAGGTAAGCGCTGGTTCGCAAAACGCCATCAATGTACACAAACACCTGACCTTGACTGCTGGAGAACCTCCTGCCAGCAATATGGCCAACACATACAGAATGCTGAAATAGTGTGAGCATTAGATTTTTAATCACAGTCCCTCTTATTGTTGCACTTCTACATGTGTGAGTGCTATAACAATTTTACCTCAATTGTATTTTTTTCTTATAGTTTCCATGTTGGTGACAGTTATGTAGGTGGTTAGTTCTGTGACACAGTTATGTAGGTGCTTAGTTCTGTGACACAGTTATGTAGGTGGTTATTTCTGTGACACAGTTATGTAGGTGCTTAGTTCTGTGACACAGTTATGTAGGTGGTTAGTTCTGTGAAACATGTAGGTGGTTAGTTCTGTGACACAGTTATGTAGGTGGTTAGTTCTGTGACACAGATATGTAGGTGGTTAGTTCTGTGACACAGTTATGTAGGTGCTTGGTTCTGTGACACAGTTATGTAGGTGGTTAGTTCTGTGAAACATGTAGGTGGTTAGTACTGTGACACAGATATGAAGTGGTGCTTAGTTCTGTGACAGTTATGTAGGTGCTTAGTTCTGTGACACAGTTATGTAGGTGCTTAGTTCTGTGACACAGTTATGTAGGTGCTTAGTTC